CCCTGGTTTAGAGGTTCCCATTGAATTCAGATGAGTCTGTGTCTGTATAGAAGCTGACAGAGGACTCACCATGGTTGAACCAGCGATACTCAAAGCAGTACAGGGAGTAGAGCAGAGACATGTGGAGGAGGCTAACCATCTGTCCAATAGCATCGATGGGGAAGAGACTAACAATCATACCCTGGAGGGCCACAAAAATACACACAGCGACACTCGTTGGAATAAAGTGAGAAACACAGGCAGCTATGCAGATTTGTTTTAAAGAAAGGATAAAATGTACCTGAATGAGGAAGAGCGCCTGGAGGAGGAGGTTAAAAAGCATGTCTGCGATGATCTTACTGACACTGGGGAATGGCTGAGCTTTACAGCCAGACACTTCAAATGCAAGGTCAGCTATGTCCTATAACACAGAGCAACGTAATGATATCAGTGTCACTGCAGCCAAACAGGAGGTATAACTGCTTTTAACTCTGTAATGGACATCTGACCCTGCTGGAGAAATGTTTTCCAGTTCTTATTTTCGAATATCATCCTCTCAAAATAACCACAACAAATGTTTGTCAGAAGTTCATCGACAGGTCTGAGCTTTTGTGATTTGGCATTATCGTGCTGAAAACAGCCCGGTCTTGTTTGACAAAGATGCCCTTTTTTAAGATCTTAATAGATTGCTCATTTCACATTGATTTTCAGCCTTGTATATTGTGCACAAAGACTTGAATTAATAGAGGGAATATTTGAATAATATTATGTGCTGTATTATTTTACATCCCATAGTGCTTCTGCTTTCTCCTGTCTCTTCATGTATCACCCTTTCTGCAGCTCTGTGATTGAGCACAGTTGGTTTCCACTTGCTCATCAGAGTCAGGAGTATGAGACTGATGAGAGTCGCCGGCAGCACCAGTGGGCCATTTCTCTGACAGTGTGTGGCACTGTGCTTGTTCCATCAGCCAGAAGAAGGGTGTGTGATTAGCCCTTTCTTGTGGAGGCAGGGTGATTAATCTGTTTTAACCATTAAAAAATACTTTACAATATTTTCGGTTTTCTGTTGTTGGTGTGGTAGTCACAAATTGATTCATATTCAGTTAGATCAAAGACATGATGCACACATGCCACTAGGTTCTGCTGAATCGGTGAGTGCTCTGGAGACCTCTTTCCTTTCCCTGGCTCATCTGCTCCTACGTGTGGAAATCACACCTGATGATGAGCTGGTAGTCTCCTCTGGTGGTCAGCAGTGTGGTGTGTTGGATGTGCTACTTCTGGTGTTGGGTTGATTAAAGTTATTTTTTTAAGCTGTGGGACCCTAGCATAAACCAATCACGACTTTCTTTACTGTGAGAAACATTATTCTGTAACTGTATGGTTGAGTTATTAAAAATCACGACCCCATTCTAACTTACCAGGATGCTCTGTTACACTGTTACTTACCTCTCGCTAAAGAACATAGTTATGAGGTGCACACAGCATTGCATAACTTCAGGGGGTTTTTATTACAACATTTTTTAGTTTGTAATAGTTGCTTTTATAATTTGCAAATAATCATATTTAGCTTTTATTTCCATTTTACACAATATCCAAATTTGTATTAAAAATAGTTGTACAGGAAAGACACCAAAAGTTTAACCTTAGAGTGTTTCTGTATAATTAAATGTCACATATGGCCTCATCCATGAATAGAAGCAACATCTGTGTCTACAGCTTCTTTATTAATAAAGCGCTGCAATACCATCTAACAACTGACTTTATTAAACACCAATGTTCCCTCTAATGTTTCATGTGTGTGAGCGAACACACAAACTCCCTGAGCGTCCCTTGGACCACTGTGAGCAACAGCAGACGTGTGCACTGTGGTCACGCCAACATCAAATCCATCCAAGTTTCATGGTTTATTAAAATAATCAAATTACAGCATTTACATTTATGTTAGACTACTTTTAATTAAGTGCTTTAGCCCACTTACAATGGAAATTAACAATAAATCTTGTTCATGACCTGTGCAGCATGTTAACACTATTGGAAGTAAAACTTGAACTCCAATTTTGAAAACAAAACTAACTTTTGTTTTTTAATAAAGCTCTGACTTGCTTGTCCTGTAACTCTCTGTCTGCAAAATACAGTAAATAATGACCAATG